GACATGCATTACTTACAAGATTATATCGCGTCCGTAGACAATGAGGTCCGAATCCGTTCACAGGAGATGCAGGGCTGCAGATGATGCAACGATAGCATCAGTACAGTATTATCGGGTATATAAGTGGTGGAAACACAACAAAGGGAGTCCTGCGGCGTCTGAGAAGCCGATAAACCTTCGGCGGTCGGTGGCTGCAGTACCAAGTGCTTGAGAGCCAGGCTGCAGCAGGTGAGAACTCAGTGACTGCGACCTTGTGAGATCGAATTTGTAACGCAGTGTTTTGTTTTAAACTTACCGAAATACAAGTTCAAAGATATTATAGTACGAATGTCCTGCAATGACGCCTTGGCCGAAAGCATCATTTCCTCATAAATTAAGATGTGATTCCCTCGACCAAACCACCCGTCGTCTCAATACGACCCACACCTTTCTCGACAAACGCAGCCACGTTTACCCACTCCTTTCTCAACAAACACAGCCGCGTTTCCCACTCCTTTTCGACCAACGCAGTCCATCCGACCCATTGGCCTCTCGTCAATGACTTCATAACGCAGATGGTGAAAGGACACTGGGATTCCCCCAGCTTGCTTCCTCGGAGCCAGACCAGGCCAGACTCGAGAGAGAACAGTGGAAATGGTCGAACGCATGGTGGGTCCAATCACTTCCAATCACGCGAGCAAGTTTTACTACCTTTCTCTCTCGGACACAGACCAGGCCAGACTCGAGGGAGGAGACTGGGATTTCCCCAGTCTCTATACACATCCAACGCTGCAGCCAATCACGCGTGCCGGGCCCCTCTCAGCACTTCCAGCCCGGGCCAGAGCCGCGAGAGAGGGGCGCCGTTCAACCGTTGCGCCGTTTAACCGTTGCAGCGTTCACCGGTTGCTCGCGCATGGCGTACCATGCAGGAACAAATTATCACTTAGCTGAGCAGCAGATGGTCCGTTCTCGACCAGGCGCCAGTAGTCTTGCTTTGGGCCAAACTTGGCCAGACCAGCATGATTCAAACCACGCATCAAAACACTTGCCAAAACATTTACAGACATGGCATCTCCCAGGCTGCCAGCGACTGCTGACAAAGGTATGTTAAAAAGTTATTGTCCTTTGCAGCAGCAGTCATTGCGGCGAAGACTGGAGCAGGAACACCTTGCAAGGCCGCAGCCTCTTCCGGCAAAAGCCTCCTTCGAAGTTTTGGGATATAATTAATATCCCTGCTGGGCCATTCGGGTTTTAATCAGACAAGGTGCTGCGTTCCGGACCACATGCTGCCAACGTGGGCTTGCGCCCACATCTAATATAAATCCCTTCAGCCACAATTCTTTTCCCAGGAGTTGCTCGTATCTGGGAAGCTGCAATATTTCTGTGCCAACTTGGTCCTTTCTGAGGAAATGATGCAAGTCCACTGGAACGGAACGTTTCTCTGGTAGGGCCAGAGTACCTTGCCCGACTTCTTGCACCACTGCTAGAAGATACACCCTTGGCCTGCTTTGCGGCACGGCGAGTTCTCGAGTGTTCATCACATTGTAGACAAAATCATAGCTCAAAGATCGCAAAGTCTTGAGGATAAAATTCCAAACCTTTTCATGTTTTTTCTGAAGAATGGAAGACACTTGCTCGAGGACAATGACCCTTGGTCTTGTCAAAGCAATGTGTTCCATCCCTTTCAATGTCAAGAAGCCTCTTTGGTCGCGAATGCCTTGTCCTTTTCCCAATTTGGAAAAGGATGGGCACGGAATAGACCCTGCTGGTCCGTAGGTCCGTAGACCGTCTGACCCATGGTATTAGTCAGAGCCAGCCGGATCTTCGTGGTCCTGGTCGTCCCGAAAGGCCGATTCATCTGCCTCTGCCTGAAGAGGAGGTGCGTTCAGAAGCGGCACGCTTTCCGTTTCCGTAGGTAAGTGAGCGTGAGCAGCATCGGCTGCTTCCCACATTTCGTCCAATTCAGATCGTAGTCGCCGAGGATGCAAGTCTTGCACAGGCTGCAAGGCAGCTTCCAAAGTCCTTTGCAAATCGCTCTTTCGATCGTGCGCGCGGTCCATGAGTTGTTTCATGGTCTGTGCGACGTCCGTCAACTCTTGAAGAGTCACCCCCAAAGAGGTGCACAGAGTTGGATTGTCTTCGAATTTTTCGACAATGTCATCCCAGAGGACGACGGATTCCAGGGCCATTGCGCTCACAAAGATCACCCTGTGAAACTCCTGCAGCTCCTGTGACCCCATGGCAACGACTAGAGGGTCGACGGGTCGGAACTGGCTTGAGCACCGAAAACTACAAAGCGGCCGGGCAAACACTGGAAATGGAGTCTGTGTGACCATCAGAGTGTCTGGAATTTGCATGATATATCATGATATATTATATCCACCTTTATTATATAATTATTACAAGAATCGATAAACAATAGATTTTCTATCACCAAGCTGACCCTGCTGTAAATTGCACCATTTCATTCTCGGGGCTACAACCGATTTCGCAAAAATTATTTATAAATCCGACCAGGTTTCGAAAGAAACCGCGTAAGTAAGTACACAGTGGGCGTTATAGTCGCCTGCCACATTGTCAAAATAAGTTCCACGCCTACCATCAATCAAATCATGCTTCATTTATTTCGACCACTTCTTGCTTAAAGGAGTTGCCACGGAGCAGTCCATACAAGTGAAGCCATGGCTACAGAGCCTCAGACAAATGAAAGTAACAAGAAACAGCGGCGCCATTGGTCTTAATCCATTGAACTGACAAAAAGTTACCACCTTTCCGAGATTCCCCCTGACCCTAAGCCTAAGCTCTCGCGTCCTACGACTACTCCAGATACAGCTGCTTACTACCCCGGATCATGCTAACCCCACCCCCGCCACCACCACCAACACCAACACCACCACCACCAACACCACCGCAGCGATAGCAAAGAAACAAGACAACAGCAGCAACAACAACAACAACAACTACTACTACTACTACTACTATAATAATGATGACAACACTAATACTACAACAGCAGCAGCAGAAGCAACAAAACGAAAAACACCCACATCAACAACTACAACCACAATCACAACAACAACAATCGCAACAACAACAACAACAACAACAACAACAACAACAACAACAACAACAACAACAACAACAACAACAACAAGAACAGCAAGAACAGCAAGAATAACAAGAACAACAGGAACAACAAGAACAACAAGAACAACAAGAACAACAAGAACAACAAGAACAACAAGAACAACAATAACAACAAGAACAACAAGAACAACAAGAACAACAAGAACAACAACAACAACAACAAGAAGAACAACAAGAACAACAAGAACAACAACAACAACAATTACAACAAGAACAACAAGAACAACAAGAACAACAACAACAGCAGCAACAACAAGAACAACAAGAACAACAAGAACAACAATAACAACAAGAACAACAAGAACAACAAGAACAACAACAACAACAGCAACAACAACAACAGCAGCAGCAACAACAACAGCAACAACAACAACATCAACATCAACAACAACAACAACTACTACTACTACTACTACAACTACAACTACAACTACAACAACAACTACAACAACAACAACAACAACAACAAACGGGCAACAACAAACAGGCAACAAACAGGCAACAAACAGACAACAAACAGACAACAAACAGACAACAAACAGACAACAAAATGCAACCACGCAACCGCTGAACAGCAGCAAGTCATTGATTTTGCCATACATATATATAATGCCCCACCCCACCCCACCCCTCCCATGAACGTAGCAGCAACGTAACATGACGCTACCATGCCCCACCCCACCCCACCCAACCCCACCGCTTCTCCATCGGAGAACCTGGGGCCCCTCGGGTATATATATACACACATAACATGTGTATATAAATTATATATATATATATACATATCGAGGTATTACCCCATTTTCAGACATAGACACAAATCATACCAGTTGGTGGCTTATATCATATCCTAAAAGATGTCTCCATGATTCCCCACTGAGTAAATCACCATGAAATCCTGAAATAACCAAGCTGCAGCTGAGTTTGGTAGAGTTACTGGCCATTTTCCAAATCCATAGCTGTGAATTATCCCCAAATTCCCATGAAATCAGGAAAAAATCACCAAGCTGCTGCTGCAGCACGTCGATGTTTGTGTCAGAAGAGAGACCACCTCGCAGCTGTGACAGCACGGGCACCAAGACGTAAGCCCGCAGCATTCGCAAGAGCCGTGCTCTCTCCTGGATGGAGAAGGCGGTGAAGGCTGGATGTGTGACCCAATTCCTGGGCATCCCGAGGTGGTGAACGAAGAATTTTTCAGCCGCATCCTCCACATCCAACTGTGGTGGAAAAAAACTATGGTAACTTTGGCATCATGCTGCCCACTTATGAACTTGGATTAGCGATGAGATGCACAAAGAGTCAACTAAGGAACCTATCATCCTCATCTGCGGAAACACTGGGGAAAAACTGGGGTCATTCGGCTGCACCAAGGACTTACCCTCTGGTAAACGTTTACATAACTCTGGAAAATCACCCATCAGATGGGTAAACTCACTATAAATGGCCATGTTCAATAGCAATGTGGCTGTTTACCAGAGGGTATGTCCAGATGTCCTGCATGAAGTTTCTGGTGCAACGAGTGTAGTTCACAAGGGACTCAGCCTGGGATAGACCCTGGTGCGGGATAAACCAAGCTCCCCAGTGCTGAGAAAGCAGGGGTTCTGAGATGTGGCCCCTAGATCGAAAAAGTCATCATTTGAAATAGCAACTACAGTTTAACTAAAGAGGATATGAGAAAATCAAGACCATCTATATCCGATAACATCGGAAATAGCTCTGCTATATAGTGAGCACTTCATACCCAAACAAAGCTGCCATCCTGCTGACATGGACGGAGGTACCAAAAAATCTAGTGATTAAGTGATCATCATGTTCCCCGTTATTACATATTATTATACATATTATTACTTGGTATCCTTGGGGATTCACTATTTATCCACAGGGCCATCTGTGGCATCAGGCCCCGATCTGATCGATCTGTCCCACAGTGTCCCACATCTCGACACAGCAATGCTGAGCAGCCAATATTGCATCGTGCCATGTGCCATCCTGAGGTCTGAACAAAACTGCAGGCTGCATCGTGGTGTCTGACTGTCTCTAGAAAAATGCTGTATCTATTTGACTATTTGGGGATTTCGTCCCATTTCCATGGTCTTTTTTTCAGCTGGGACACCATCCAAAGTAGAGTGAAACCTGATTTTTTGAGACCACCAACGAGTTGTGGGAATCTGCTGCACCCTTTTTTCAACATTAAGCTCCAAAGGCAAAACGCGACATCTCAAAAAGTACCAGGAAAGCAAAGGGTCATCTTTGGTTCGTCGGAGAAGTTCTTTGCTGGCTCTCCTTGGAAAAACATATCATCTGCAGGCAGAAAGCTAGTTTCAAGGGTGGCTCTAACAACCCCTTTCTGTGGGTTTTACAAGTGTCCAACGATGATTTAGAACGTGTTTCAGGTGTTTGATTCATAGATACCTTTTGAATCGCCCATTGAAATCATGTGTCCCACATCTGCTGAGCTGGAATTTGTCGCTGCTAGTCTGCCATTGAAATTGACTACCAGCATGCAGCATGATGAAAAGCGATGAAACCAAACAATACTCCGTCGTTGGTATTCGTATCCGACTCACGAATGCATACCATTTGTTTCGATTCGCACAAACACAGTAAAACAAAGTGTAGGTATGTGTAGATAATCGACAGGAAATGTGCAACCAGTCTTTTGGTCTCACCATATGGAGGTTTCCCAAGTCATGGGGGTAAACCCCCAACTCATTCATACTGGATTGTCCATGAAATAAACCATCCAGCTATTCGGGTACATCTATTATTTGGATTTATTTGGTGGTTTTAACCATCTTGAAAAATATGAAAGTCAATGGGAAGGATTATCCCATATATTATGGGAAATAAAAAATGTTCCAAACCACCAGATCTAAGTCATTAAATATTTTGACCAGTTTAAAATACTTTAATTAGTATAGGTTAACTACCATGGTGACTTGGGTTAGCTGAAACAATATTGAAAGCCCTAGTTCGAGTTATAGAAACAGTTGAAACCCATTGAAAATGCCAAATAGTTAGACTATGTTAGACTACCTCCTTACTGGTGTATACGAACCTCCAATGCTTTTATAAACCGCACTAGTTCGTTGTATCTACCATAAACCATGGAATTCAGCCACAACCATATCTCAACTTGGCTCGCTATCTGAAGGGGGCCCCATCCCAGGGCGTCGCCGCGTCGTCTCCGCTGCCGCTGAGCATCTTCTGCGCTGCCGCTGTCACTCTTGCTGCGATCAACTCCTGGGCAACTTGGACGTGCAAGGTACACAGGGGAACTACTTTGGCTTTATATATCAGGGTAATGTACATATATATATATATATATCAGGAGCTTCAAAGACCCAAAAAATTGTAGGTCCAGTGAAAAAAAACTAGTTTTTTCGAGAAAAACCGGGTTTTTGTAAAGAACCCATATTTTGGTTTCTGTTGGATTTGCACAAATTTGTCCAAATCGGGTGGACCTGTATCAAATTTCTCCTCATTACATGTAGCAATTTCATACTGACAACTTGTGAAATCTCTCAGACAGAACGCGCGATCGAAACCGAAGCAAGCGTTATCAGACACGATGCGCGCATTCTCCACCAGCCGCAGTTGCCTCCTATGCTGCGAACTTTCCCTTCAGCGGGACTGGAGGTAGTCAAAAAGTCACAATGGATATGCATGGCATTTCAAAAGTCAGCTTTTCAGATATGAACCCAGTAAATTGACAATAGCTCCCGTAATCTGTGTTGTTTTCTTTTTGTCTGGATCGGGCAATTACCGGTTCGATCTTGCAAAACCACAAGCGGAGCCTTAAAACTCGACGTCGCGCCGTCAATTCGCAGAGGCAAAAAAACAATATTTTGGGTACGGGTTTGTATGGGTTAAATATGGGTTAAATATGGTTTAAATATGGGTTCCAAAAAAACGTTTTTTCTATATCAGAATATGGGTTTAGTACGGGTTAAATATGGGTTTAGTACGGCTTAGTACGGCTTAAATATGGGTTTTGGGCATTTTTTGGGTACAGGCCCTAACATTTTCATCCGACGTGATTAAAAACTGAAAATTCCGATTGATTTTCATGATTTCGATTGATTTTGTTAATTTTGTTCGATGCTTTTGTTCGACTGTTTGTTGGACTTTGGCAATCCAGAATCATTTTTTCCCAATGAAAAAAATCCAGCCATGTTTCAATTTATGCTTCTAGGGGTGGTTCTTGGGAAAAAATCATCCAACGACTCCAGATTGACTGTGTTCACACTTAATGTTGTCCGACATTTTCCAAGAGCATCAGGCCCTTTCTTGTGAGAACTGCCAGCCAAAGCCAGCAAGGTGGAAGAGTAATCAACATGAAGGGTACTGAGAGGGATAGACCCAAGGCTGGTATCAATAAAGGGGTTTGAATCGTCTAAGGGAACGAATCATGAGATGTCATGACACCAAGTGTGAGAAAAAGTAGGTTTGTTCCCTAGTAAAGAAACAAACACATATTTTCTGAGAAAAAAAACGGGTTTTTGAAAAAAGACCTACAAATTTGTGGGTTTTTGATGTGCTAGGTATATATTTTTATTATTAATTATTATTGTTATTCATGTTTTATTATCGATTATCATTATTATTTTTTTTAATAATTATAATAATAATTATTGTTGTTGTTATTATTATTTATTATTATTATTTATTGTTATTATTGTTATTATATATACATACAATTACATATATATATATATGATGTTAACCCTGGACTTACAATGAACAAGCAAGCGTACACAAAAACACAAAGGATTTAGATCAAGGATGATCAAGGCAATATTTGATCTGAATAATGTATGTATATATATAATTATTAATTATTATATAATAAACATGAAAGTTTCCTAAAATGGGAATACCCATAAATCACCCAAGTCATTAGACCCTCTTATCTCTTGAAACCCTATGGCTTTGGAGATCCCCCATTTCAAGAAACTCCCGTATTATATAGTTGTTAACCCTGGTCATACAATGAAGTAGACAGTATAAACAACAACTCCAGAGAGTCCCAAAACCAAGTTTCAGGCGCACTTGAGGAACTGGCAGTGGCAAAGGCAGCACCCAATAGGCTTTGAACCCCTGCCAGTGTTGCAACAAAGACTCCAGACCGAACCCAAGTATACTTGACATAAACGATGAATATCCTTGGGATTGTACTCAATGCTATCTCGCAGGTTTCAAACTGCAAAATGCCGGGAGTATTGCAAGAGTTTAGAGCTGTTTCTTTCAAGGTTTCCATCGTCCACGCGCTCTACTAAATAGTAAGAAATCCTCTTGCGGTATTAGATTGCCCCAAGCACATGACTGCCCGTGTTTCCTTGCAGGTAACTCGTTTTTTTCTTTAATACAGTTGCGACTTATTAAACTTGGATAAGTGACCTTCATCTCGAACAAACCTCAAAAAAACAACTGCTCTGTTTGGTAGTTTCGCCTCCCTCTCAAAAGCTATCTCAAATAAGATCATTTCAGGTAGGATGGACTATCACAAGTGATTCAACCACCAACTAGTCTGAATTCGTTGATATCCCCATGTTTGCTGGGTGTAATACTGCCATCTATAACAATAACATGAAATGCCTGGCATACTATTCATATTCCTATAACCATGTTGTTGGTTTCTTAAAGCATCATCCTATCATACGTCCCAACTGGTTTGTTCATAATTTAAATAGAAAACATGATGAATTTACCCTGGAGTTTTGAGGCTTTCCCTATTTTTTGCTCAATCACACCCGTATACATTTGATTGTTGATTATATCCTTTGTATCCCCGTAAACTGGTTGCTAATTAGTGTTGTGTAATGTAAGCCATAAACAAATACCACCATAATATCAGGGTTGTTGTCTACATCTACAGTACATTAATGGTTATATTATCATGCATTGAATGTTTGATTTATGTAGAACCAATCAATTGTTTGATATCAGTTTTGTTGATGATATTCCCCTGAATCGTACTTAACGGTCCTTCAAATCCCATGGTTTTGAACACGTTGAAACCCCTGTGGTCGTACCCTGCTCCACCTGGAGCTGCATCGATGAGACTCAAGGCTTCAGCCCACAGAAACGTGGCAGCGCAGGCCGTCACGGCCGCATCGCGGGAAATGGCGTCAGGACCTGTGCATGCTACCCCGATTCCCATTGTGCTTAACCAAAATCATTGCTAGTTGTGGATGTTCATACAGTTCATACATGTTCATACCACCCCAAAAATGGTATAGCATGGTTTTTCACCACCATTGACAAGCCATTGAGCTCGTATTAAAGCACCACTTGTTTTCCGTTTCCTGTGCATCTCAACGAGTCGGCTCGGAAACGTTCAGAGCCCATTTTTTGCACCATTCTTCATGCTGAAATCCCACCCCAAAATCGTTGGTTTTTGATCCCCCAGCTGCACCTCCACCATGGCCATGGCCGAGGTGCAGCAGGCGCATGGCATGCTGCGGCTGCAAGCCCCGGGCGCAGGCGGCGATGCCTGCACTCAAGACCTGAGGCAAGGCGGCCGCAACCCATCACTGGGGGATGGTAAAATCACCATTTTTTTATGGGGAAAATCACAATTTTTAATGGGAAAACTCACATAAACTAGCACAATAACTATGGAAAACTAACATAACTATGGAACGATCCACCATTTTTAATGGGACAACTCACTATTTATAGTGGCCGTGTTCAATAGTCAAAATTACCAGAAGGTAGCACCCACAATGATGATGGTTTTGGGGGTGGTTTATGGCATTGAGTTTACCACATCGATCCCGTCATTTGTCACGCTGAACACCTTTATGGTAGAAGGGAGCACCAGTTACAGTTTTTTGTGGGGGAAAATGTGTGGACCTGTTCTTTTTTAGAAACCAAAAAAAGGGTCGATTCAATTTTTGGATATTGTAATGATAATGTATAAGAAGAGATCTCCCACGTGCTGTTTAGTATAGGGCCTACTTTTCTTGGGGTGGGAATAATCAAACGCCAGAAGATCCCGAGAGAACCACCATCTGATCATCTGGGTATATCGGTCACAACTTTCTTCGAGTGATCCCCACCGACCGGCATTCTATCTGGCATAATTGACATATTCTGACATACTGTCTGGAATTGTATCTGACATTTACTCTGACATTAACATTTCTGACATGTTATCTGACATTCTATTCACAATTTTATGTAGTTCTATATATATATTATATATATATATATATTATATTATATATATATATATATACCCAGCCCTTCGGCGTCGTAGTTAAACCATGACCTAGCACAACGACACGTTTTTACTCTGTTATAAGACATGTATAAAACATTCTATACATTATAATAATATTAATTATTGTGATGGATTCATGGTCTGTCCCCATAGCTGTCTCATGCTCATGAAAAAGAGGGTATTGTTGGCCTTGGTGTCTTCAGCTGCTCATCTATGTCTATTCTGTCTGGAACTCAAATGTGGGAATTGTTTTTCACATGGAATATATTCATGATTTATATAATTATCGGACACCAACCCCCCAGGTCATGCCGATGGTCTGATGCAAAGGGCATTGAATAGATGTCATGGACTCAGAATAAACTTGCCAGAATTAATCACCTCAAATGGAATTTCTCTCCCAGTCCCAGGCCATGCAGCTGCTGCTCAAGGTTCCACCTCCCTTGCCATGCCTCCGTCAAATTTCTTTTTTTCATCGCTTTACTGATTTGTTTGTGAAACTCGCTATGGCTAAACCATTAAATTAAAGGACTGTTTCTGATTATGCATTTGTGTCTGTTGTGTAAGCGAAACAAATCTGATATTGTTCTCGGTGCCATTTTTATTGCACAGGATTTTTTTGGTGGCTACTTTCTGACCGAAGAGCCTTACCGGGTTGACAGGCTGGTCTCAAAATTTTGGAAGTAAAATTGTTTTATACCCGATGCACGATCGAACAATCTTTCCATCTCTGGTTGGTGCCTTTCTTTTCAGGTTCAAAAAGATCGCAAAGCTGAAAGGAATCCTGGAAGAGGATGTGAGGAGAGATCTTTACCGTAAGAAGGCTTGCATGCAAAACCTGTTTTGTTGCGATGAGCACATACCAAACAGTATTCATTATGTTGTCCAGGCTCCATGTGAGTTCTCCTTTTTGGACATGGGACCTTCCAAGTGCAAGGGTGTTGAGCAAAACCAGGCACCTGGGCTGTCTTTGCTAGGATTTCCTTGGCCAAACAACATGCAATATTGCCTGTTGATTTGGACTTGATGAATGCAGGTCATTCAGGATACCAATTTCAACCTGTTGAGGTCTTTCCTGGAGAAGTTCACCGTTTGTTTCCCAACAGCAAAGGAAGCCCAGGCTAGTGTGTTATTACTGGTTGGTGGTTTCAACCCATCTATATATGGAAAAATTAAAATTTCCAAATCACCAACCAGTATTAGTTTGGTGACATTGGCTGTAGCATTTTGCACATGTAAGACAAAATGAACAGAAACACAGAAACAAATCAAGACTGCTGCAGGCTGCACTAGCTGCTGTTGCAGTTGAACATCGGTTGGTCAATAGCCAGGGTGAGAAGGATCCAGTTGTCCAGGCATTGGTGTCTAAGTTTGAATTTCCAATGATCAAAGGATGGCATCATGTGCGCTGGTACATGTTGATACAAATGGGTTTCTGTTTTTTTTCTATCAGCCGATGACCTCTCAGAGTCATCGGCCTGGCACAGGCATGGGCTTTGCAGGAAGGAAACACAATTCGAGCTCTGGGAACCTATGTCATCACGCGCTGCTCACGGACAACGGTTGGAAGGTAAGGCCATGATGTGAATGTGGATTAATTATATAGTATATATATATATATTCATTCACTATGAATACTTTATTAACTGACAACTTCCTGGTAACCCTGGTATCACTCTTTTTGTCTGCTCGCATCGGAGTGACCTGTGCACTGTGCTCAGACCTGCAGTGGTAATTTATCTTTAACAATTTCTTTAATGATTTGTTTTGTTTAGCAAGTTAGACTGTTTAATGGGGGCCTAGATGCCTATGTGATGATACTGATCTCTGTGATACCACTGCAAGCATGTTTCGACTATTTACTGCTGCAAGCAACCGATCTTCCTGAAGAATTTCCTGTCCTCCAAAATCTCGTAGATGGCTGACTCAATTCTTTCTTCCACTGGTGCTATTGGCCCCGGACATTTGTCTGGATGATCAATAGGGTAGTTCGCGAGACGTAGCACCCTTTCTTCGTCAGAATTGTGCCAGCTTGCAACTGATGTTTCTGTAATCTCACTGATATCCGAAAAGGCCGGTGATGTAGGTGATAAGGGCTTTTGATCTTCCTTGCTCTCCGCCTCAGTCGGCATTGTTCTGGCCTTTTTCTTCTCCTTGGAAGTTTCCTTCTTCTTGTCTGGCTCAGAAGAAGGTTGTGGAGGATAGTGGTACCCCCAATAGAAATCACCAGAGTCCGTGTAAATTTTCACTTTCCCATACTGTTTCAGCATCAGGGCACTCAACGCGTCATCATCCTCCTCTTCCAATCTTCGTTTTCTTCTTTTCTCCTCCTCCTGTTGCATTTTGGCTTTCTTCTGCTCCTGTTCCTCTCGCTCCAGAATTTCCATTCTGAGTCTGATCTCCTCTAATTCCTTTTCATCCTGCATGCGCTTCTCATGTATGCTATTGGTGAGCTCCTTCAACTTCTTTGTCTCTTCCTCAAGCCGCTCAACTAAACGTGCATTTCTTTGTGCATCCTCAAGAGCCCTTCTTGTTCGGTCCCACAAATTGTTCAAGGCCTCGTCCAACGTATAATCCATCGGGCGCTGGCATGAATAATATAATACATTATGATTTGCACAATTGCTTAGTGTGAAAGTCTGTTTCACATTGTCTCAGCATTTGGATCATGGTGTGAACACCAACTGCAGTTACCCAATTTAGTAATATTGGTTTTGCCAATAACATGGTCTGTCCACATTGTGTTCAGCACTGAGCCGACACTCCAATCCATTCATTGACAGTTCTCAACAACAAGCATCCAAGACTGCAAATTCTCAAGGACATTGTGAAGAAGCAGTTCGAGGTTTGATTGATTTCGAAGAGTGCGTTGAAACATGCAAATCATCAGCGACAACATATGTTGATCGTAATCTATCGTGCCAGGTGCATGGCATCGTCAAGCGAAAGACCAGTCGCACCTTCATGAAGGCATCGCCGAAGAGGAGGAAGGATGAGACACCTGGAGATGCGAAAGGCAGGACTCATTAGCAGCACCATCGTGCATGAGACCCAGTCATTGAAAGTGATTTGAGAATTGATGAGGATAGATTTGTGTGGCATATGCTCAGATAGTGCCTCAAGATTGCATCCTATTTGGGCATTGTAGAGGGTATATATGTGCTCTTCCAGAGTCTGAGTCAGGTCCTTGGCTGGGGCTGAAACACTTTGATGTTTTCTGCATCAAGGTATGCACAATGCATTGTGTCAACCTTGGCCTACTTTATACAGCAAACGGATCGAGTCTGTGACATGACGACAGCTTTGGACTTTCGTGCAAGTTTTTTGTTTAATTCTATTTGCAGGCTGCAAATTGATGTTTGTGCTACGGACATGACAATTTGTTTGGTTTGAACCATGACGTTCTCGAGGAGTACCTTGGTGGAACTTGGTTGCTTTGGAGACCAAGCCTCACAAATGAAGGAACTGTTACTGGAAGCTTGGGAAGACTATCGTGCTTGGTGCAAAGAGCAGAAAGTTAATACTGGACAAGGACGATTCACACCTGGACTGGCCACTCAGATTTGTGCGATGTGTAACTTGTTAGTTGCTATTGTGCTGTTTGCCAAATACATGCTAGATGATGACACATGAATAACAATAAGTTGTAATGGTATATCAAGCCAGTTTTGCCGCTCAGGTATTCAAACGTCGCCATGGAGCATACATGACTGCAAAGGCTTGGAATGGACGGGTGATAGCCCAGTGGTTGTCGGATTGTTCAGATGCTGCTTTCTCTAACAGCTACCCGCCTGCAGATTCTCAACGTGTTTTAGGCCGATGGTTTCGCAGCAATGGATTGGTTGTTCAGGATGAGCGTGTGTTACATCAGAAACTTGCCATGTAACCTGGCCGCAATGCTGAAACAGCCTTAATTTGTGCCTCCACATGTGAAGCTGCATTGAATCGTTGCTACTGGTTGCTACCACATGAATTTCAATCGGTTTATTTTGCTGTCAGGTGTTTTTTGATAGTTCGAAGATTTTGAACCTTTCTGGTTTGTTTCGCAAGGCGGGCAAGGATGGTTATACAATTTATATAGTAACCGTGTACATGACACATGCATTGCCTACTAGATATGTGGCTGTGTGTCTCAAGCTGACACGGGGAATTCGGTTTGCAGATATTTTGGTCTGACTGAAAATGCTCAACGATGTTTGCTGCTTGGACTAACATGAATGAAGTCGTGAAACACATGTGTCTTACAGTAAACCTTTTTCCCAAGTCTGTGTACAAATGTTGCATAAACTGAATTAAGGTGGCCACATGCTCGTTTAAGACTTGCAGACTTGCATATAGCCTGATGGCACTTAGGACAGCCGATCAGGCAAATGATGTGTATCAATCTGGCATGACGTTTCTACGCCAACACTTGCATCTCACAAGGATCAGTGCCAGGACTGAAAGATTGATATACCTTGCCTTGCACATGATTCTTAGTTGTTTTTGAATGTGATGCGCTTCAAATATCTGAAGGTTGTGAAGTTTGTTGGCTTTCCTACTACGCAGGAGAAATGTGCTTCAGTGGTTAGCCAAGCCGAAAATACACGTCCGTTGCTTAATTGCTGAGAAAATGTCAAGAAAAAGGCATAGAATGACACCACGAGTGTTGACCAAATCCAAAGTTTGATTCTGTATAGCATTTGGTGCGCTAAGAACTTCCATCATCTCCTACGCGAAACTCGAAAATTCAGAGACTTGACGCAGCTAGCTGTTGTGGCGAGTACATATGTCACTCTGTGCTGTTTTTTTCTGAACATATACATGCAGGAAAAGATATTATGACTATCTAAGGACTTAATGGTCGATTCTTTCACGCTTTCAGTGATGAAGATGCCATGAAGTGGGCCAAGATGATTGCAAGGAAGTCATCCAGAAGGTATTTGGAGAAAGGTGTGATGCGTGCTGCCAATTTGAGACTAAGTCTTCTGAGATGGCGCACACGACATCTCAATGAGCAAGTGAAGCGTCGAAACTGCAGATGAGGAAAAAGGCGCTTCCTTTATGTTTGTTAACATGGTTTGGGTATGCTTATCAGGCTATATCCGCAGCGTCGTGGTAAAACCTTGATCTCCGACAACGTCGTGGCTTTCCCATGTCTTTAGACTTCCTGGGTATATACATACATATACATACACACATTATATTACATATATGCTGACTATTCTATTTTACAGTTTATCTGGCAGAGTGTTCGGGTCTGGCAGGGCCGAGCCCACGAGCTCGTCATTCTGGGATCCAGCAGGGCCCAGAGGGCTGAAATCTACAGTGGAGACCCTCAACTGGCACATGAAAAAAAATACATGTCCAGGTAATTTGTTGTCTTAAGACTCCCGTTTTGAGGTAGCTAATTATATATTGAACCATGGCAATCTTTACAAGGAAACATCACTTAGATACCAATGATGGTGGATTTTTAGTTGCCAGGTTGCTTGATCATTTCCAGAAGGTAATCATGTCCCCCTAACGCGATAAACCCCAAACCACAAAGAATCCCCAATTACTTACCAGAATGAGTGGGATCTAAGCAACTCTCAATTAGTTGTTACTGGGCTTGCAACATTCTGAAACACTCATCTGGAGACCCTGGTTTTGCGGATCTGTTCGTTTGGGTGTCCCATTAGGCTTTAGTGGGACATTAAAATCTAATCCCTTCCCCCTAATATTAAACACCCCCTTCGAAACAATGGTTTAGCGGGGAATTTCCACATTCCATTGGGACCATTTAGAAGGTGTTTAAAAAAAGGGGGATGGGACTCCAAAACGAATTGTGCTTTGATAAAAACAATACAAGAACCTCTAACCAGTTTACTAATCACTGTCTAACCACAAATACAAATTGGTTATCATTTTCCCTGAAACCAACCACGTCAACCTCTCGGTAATCCGGATCATCATCCCCAGGTGGGGCAATGTCAATGCCTTGTTGATATGGGGAGGGCATTTCAAATAGCTATAACGGCAATCAAACTTGTCAAGTAACAATAGATAAATATACGTAAATAAATAGTCAATACACCGTGGTTTCCGATTCTTGCCTTTCTAGGTTTCCCGTGAGAGCCAAGGTTTACACAGTTGGGGTTGACACTAGAAACATTCCGTTTCGAATGCCTGCATTTTGGAAAAAGTATGTACCGGCAGGAAATCTGTTTTGTAGTGTAGGTTGTTCATCTGTTTCGAGGGGCCACACAACAACTCCGATGATTCTTGGGAATTATGAGATGCACACTGGACTTGTCCCACTCGCAAATTCAACTGCACCATGTGTTCTTTTTTCCTTATGGCCTCTGGCGGAGGCCCACATCTGCGAGTTACTTTCCCCAACAGCCATCGACTTTCAGCCGTAGCACAAACTTGTTCAGCTTGGAAAATCTGCGCATGGCATCGGCCACAAGGTTCAATGCCTTCGCCCACTTTGCAGTCTTCTTGCATGCACTGATCAAAGCACCTCACAAAACTTGATGCGATCTGCCAGTGTTGCGTCAAAATGAGATCTAACAGAATGGTGTGTCCACAAAATGGGGTATAACGCGTGGAGTTGCACTGAATCCAGGTTTGTTTTGTAGGCAAACTTCAATCTATGTTGGTGGTTACACAGAGTTGGAAGGGTGAAGGATGCTGAAACGCTGGCTGATCGCATCCCAGCTTCCCCAGATCACAAGGAAAATCCATCAGAACGGGGGTTGCTGCCCAAATTGTTTTTCAATCATTCTGTTAAATTGTGTGTTTTTATGTTTCATGTTTTGTTTTTTCCTATGTTATGTTTAAACAACTTCATGCAGTTTCTGCATTTTGAGCCTGGCCCAAAACATTTTCAGCAAGTTTGAGAGGTTCTGAGTTTTTTTCAAATGTTTTGCGATTTTGTGATCTGCCTGCCCCTGTCCCAACATGTTCCTTCCCGTTTTTTATTTGCGATCTATCATGTTTATGTTGCATTTGTTTTTATTATGTTTGATCTGTATTAAGTATGTGTTCTCATGTTTTGTTCACCTTCTGCAAGCTTATGCGTATAATTGTTGATACAACTGCAATCCAGCAATCCAAAATCCAATTCGGGCAAACCAAAACCGTCAAGCATCTCCGCTTCAAACATATATATATATATAATTATATATATATAATTATATATATATAATTATATATATAGTCCTTATTACAATTACAAGAATCAAACATAAGTGGAAAACACATGCACACAACAAACAACACTGATGACACACTGACATTTTTGTCCATTTCATTTGCTTACATGTGTTTGCTCTTTGGAGCTGTTTTTGGCTATGTTTTAGCTCTTTTTAGCTCTTTCTAGCACATTGTATGTTTTTGTTAGATCTTTGTCGTTCTTTTTAGCTCTTGTCTGCTCAGAATGTCACATCAAAATATTTCTTCAAACCCCATCAACCTCTTCTGATCCGATACCCTTCTTATGTGTCATGTATCATGTTTCGTTTGTTGTGATTCACCCATATCTGGGCTCTGGGTTTCCCCATCTTTCAGGATGAAGCCACAGTGCCTACCACCCATTCGGAACATGTCCAACCAGATCTCCCTTCAAGCAACAGTACGTGTAGGCATCGGCGCCATTGGGTTTCACCAGCTTGTCGCTCGCGCGCAGCGCTTGTCGAGATAATCCAGCTTTGCGGAGAGCCACCAGGGTGGTGTTGTATGTCACTTGGTCCTTGGGATGGTGGTTTAGGTATGGAGATGATGGGGATATGATGGGATATGTATCAATCATAGGTATAGTTAAATGAGGAGATAATAAAGGTGTAACATAGGCAAAACGGGTATAACCGATACAATAACGGGATGAAGTGGTGATCTGGATGATGGTTTCAACCAACTCCAATGGCTGATGGGAGTATAGTCAAGGGGGATATCTACCAATAATCCAAATAGTTGTTTCAAATAACGGATATCTACAAATCATAATAGGGAATGTAACCATGTAATATCATGTAATTTAATGTAATTTAACTCTGGAAGAGAGCTGTCACTTAGGTTCTGAAGATCCGCCAAAAGGATCCAATTTCAAGACCGAAAAGTTTGTTTGGGGGCCTCCAACTTTTAGTAGCACCAAATTCTCACATGTCCATCAGTTGCATTCGAGGGTTGTTCGTTACAGTGTGCTACTACAATTACATAAAAGAACACACACAAACAAAGAAACAAGCAAGCAAACAAACAAACAAATACGACTCAACTCAACTTCTTTGACAAGCAATCTTCTGTTCCTCATTCGGCCAAGCAGGGCAATTTATTGATGGCCATATCCCCGGTATATCCCGATTGGCTAATAGTCATTGGTTGATATCCCACCGCCCTTCGGTTATGCTCCGTCATCTCATATGATCTGCAACTATATGGGTGATCAAAATAGAGGTACTGCCTGGGGCAGCTACAATCGCCGATCAACCGCGATCCCAATGGTGTCAATCGCGGGAGGGTTCTGTCGTATGCGACGCTATTTTGCACAGAGAATCGTCAAAACATTGCTACATACCACAGTATTTAGACATTGCGTGAGCCAGGGCCTACTCAGGCGGGTTTAACAATCGCGGAGCAATCGCGGATCAACAGCGAGCCAATCGCAGGTTTCATCGACATTTTTTGAAAATTGAATTTATCTGGGTTGTTAGACTTTAAACTTGTTGTTCTGATTCTTCTTTAGTATTGGCTATCATTATTGAACACATTGTCTAGCCAGACCCGAAGTGTCTAGGCAGACCCGAATACAGTATAAGGCTGAAATAAAACATAATCATCATGCCACCAATTAAAGTTTAAAATATATAATATTGATTTCTCCTCTTAATCCAGTCGATTCTTATACAACAAATGTTTGTCTCAATCGCGAACCAATCGCCGATCAATCGCAACGCAGGGTTTTACAATCGCAGATGCTGGAATACACATGCCCTTTCATAATTCGTTGACTTGCATTTGCGGTCGGTTCCATATATGGTTTTGGTACCCCAAAACCCCACAATTAACAATGTTCTGTATTCAAATACCATTTTTGCGGGTACCTTACCCCGATTTCAAACATACCCATACTACCATCCTACTCCCATCCTACTCCCATCCTACTCCCATCCTTGATTGTGACATCCCACTCCACCAACGGCAACTATCCCCAAATATATCCCAATTATTGTTATTGTCCGAATCTGTCGTTATTATTCCACCATCCTTGGTTGTTGCCACTCCATATGTATAGATGCCCAACATGAATCATCTTTGTATCCCATTGCATATTTATATATATATATATATTTATTTATTTATATTATACATACATACATTCCCAATCATTTTCTGTGAGTATTGCAGTCAATCCACCAGTTCTTCATTGTCCTCCCATTATGGTGATTACACACCACCATCCCTTGGTGCTTGTTAAATCATGTCATCTGTCCACCAATCTATCTAGTTTGTTGTGTTGATGGTTAAATCATGTTCAATGACTATGTTTGATGGTTATATTTCAATTAGTGTTGGCTAAAGTCCTTTTTTCATTCTTAGTTAAATCATTATGCTTGATGGCCAAATCTCAATAATTGACGACCGAATCACTCATCTTGATGCTTACATCATGTTAAACTACGTATGTTAAATCACTACTGGTTGGTGGTTTCAACCCCCCTGAAAAATATGAAAGTCAGTTGGGATTATGGCATTCCCAAAATATGAAAAGTCATAAAAGTCATGTTCCAAACCGCCAACCAGATCAGATAAATCACTATTGTTGATGGTTAAATCACTATTGTTGATGGTGAATCACTATTTGTTCAATGTTAAATCACTGTTGTTGATGGTTAAATCATGTTAAATCCCAATCCACCAAGGACGCAACGTCTTCCGCTTGATCCAAGTCTCCGGTTGCAGCTTGACCTCTTCCATTTCACTCAGCAGCGCCAGCGCCCAGCGCCAGGAAGCGTTGGATCGAGCGGCCAGCAACGAGTTGTAAGTGACCACGTTGGGAGACACCTCCACCTGCCATGGGAATTTTGGGGCTGAAACTTGGAAAGACCCTGGGAAAAATGTGGACAAAAATGATGAAACCTGGGAAAAAAACATGGTAAAAACTAGAAAAAACACTGGAATACATTGGGATTTGTCATAAGGATTTAGTATAAAGCGTAGTATGTATGCGCAACAAACAATCCCCGAATAATTGCGTTTGCACCCGGCTTCTACACCCGCCAGGTTGCCTTGCTCATGTAGCGCAGCAGTAACAGTCCCTGTTGCCACGCAGAGGCTTTTGAACAAATACCTGTCGGCCGCAAAACAGTTTCTGTCACGAGCCTCTGGATCTATGTCAGGAGGTGCCTAGCATCAATCTATGGATTGGTTGAAGGTACAGGAAACCATGGATTTTCCCATGAAAGCCATGGGGTTTCCTGTACTTGTCCGTCTCACCCAAATCATAGACAGTGTAGAGTATGATGATGCACCATGATCACCTGCAAAGTGGCATTCCAAACATCCCCGGAATCTTGGGATGCCTCACTCGAACAGTACTACAAAATACTACAAATACAGCATGACAAAGCTATGGTGGCGCCAAGCTCCTCTACCCGGCAATCAAACATGGCAATGGAAATCCTATGAAATCACCTACCTAGAGATGATTTTCACTGATTTTCCCATTCACATTTCGTTCACCGGGATTTCTCGGCAAGCCATGTTTGAGTACCGCTCGGATCCCATATCAACTGGATCAAGCTGCCAATTACTGCAGTGAAACACACCACATCTGGCGTGATCATTTCGGACCTTGGAATACCCAGCACGGTGTGAAGAAACCCGGGAATACCCAGCTGGGAGAAGCCCAAGCGGAAAGTCATTTTTCGGCTGGGCAATAGAGAGTTCCTATCTTGTAGATTTATAGCTGCAAGTTAATCTAAGATTGATTCTACAAAATAGATCAAAATAGGAGTTGTGATGATTCTACATTACTACAACCCCATATGTACTCAAGAAAGGTGTTCTACAAATATATAACACCTCTAATATTTCTAAGATTACCCCACCAAACCAACCTTTGCGGAGTTCTTTTCTGAAAGCCAAGTTCCGTCATCCGAACCGTGCAGTTTCAGTGGGATGAACATCTAAAACAATGATGACTTGGGGTTCACTAGGTAGGGTGCCATGACCCATAGCCATATAGACCTCGCCAAAAAATAGCTGTATCTGTCTTACATGCCTCCATGGCAGAACATCATGGAAAGATTGAACTATCCAACACCAACGAAAGGGACAAATGCTGTCCTTTGGCCACTCCCCCGGGACCGGAGTATCTGAGCGTTTGAAGAAAAATCAGTGCAAGATACCTCAAAGGTCTAAAACGGTTTCAATGCATATGCAAACACACAATCACACAATTCAATGTGCAACTAACTATTATGTTTTTTTCTGGAATTTACTGTTGGAATGGATGGATAACGAATAAGACTCTTTGAAACTCAGTTGCATGGCCCTGGAGGAATTCAATTCTAAAGGTGTAACAAGTAAAAACCACAACACATCTAAACAAAAACCAGGAAAAATGGATGTGTGTTTTATCATGATTAATAATGTGTTAATTCACATAAGTTCACAATATTTTGACTGAAAAACTTTGATATTTCCAGTTGAACCCCCGGCCGCCGAGTCGCAACTCTGTGAGGTGTTGAATGGCATTCTGCCACAACGCAGATCGACCTCGGTGAACAGATCATCCGGAGAAAGTCGCTGGCTAGTAAATGGGTTATCCTGTAGTTACGCACATCCACCACCTTTTGGCATGAACATTGTGTCCACCCATACCACTGAGCACGGTTATAAAGAACCGCCTCTAGTGGAATGACGCGCTGGCCTTAAGGGCTACCAGCTGATACACAACATGCACCGGGTAGAGGAAGACACATGGAATCACCGATTCACCGAAGAGATTCTACATATCCCACTAAAAAATGGTTTATAACATCTTATAACTAAGGTTACCAGTATGGGTACTTAGCAACTGCTTAGGACCACCAGTTCGTTAGTCCACCCAGATCAATGGGATAACCCACGGACAAAGGTGACTTTTGATAACATTGAAATCATGAATCCGTCCTTAAAACAAACATGGCTTCAAGAAACAAGTTTTTTTTGTCGGAAGTTTCATTTACTAAAGACAATGGCCTTGTTGGGATTCCGTGCTAAAATATTTGAGATCATCCTTCTTGAGAAAACGTGGCACCAGACTCAAAACCTGACCTCTGAAGATCAAAAGGCCGGGTATTTTTTAGTACTCAGAACTGCTTTGACAGAGCAGAAACATACATTGCTGTACTCTTCGTTTGAAATCACCCATGTTCCTCTTGGTGCCCCATGCTTTTTGCAGCACACCCGGAGCTTGAGTGTAATGACCTTTTTTCATGGCCGGGTCACATTGCTGCACGATAAGTCGAGTTGCCACCGCCACTGGACTTTCCTGGGCATTGGACAGGTCAAAAGACTCCAAACCAACCGTGTCTTTTCCGGGACAAAGCAGTTGCGGGAGACGGTGATTTGTAGACAATCTGTGTTATGATCATTTGTTTACCTGGTTTACCTAAACATGTTGTGAAAAATGAGGGAGACCCTGGGAGACCCCCCTTTTGCTTTCATCAACCAATGGAAATTTGGAACATTGATGCCCGAAACCATCCGGACTTGAAGGACATGATCAATGCAGGAACTCAGTGTGCCAGTGCGCTGATCAACACTGATGTTCTCAGAAAGTCACATCTGGTCTAGAGCTCCTCTCGGTTAGTATCCTGAAGTCTGCTTCCCTTCAAATGCCAACATGTTCACAAGCAACCTCTACCAAATGGCAAATGTCATAAATTCTATATATCTATACTGCTAGTCATAAAATCTCATTTCTCTTAGCACAGTTGCGGTCCGGAACATCCAGAGGAAAGGTCTGGAACAACTACTCTCATACTCCTAAAATATCACGTTTATGAATTTTCACATAAAGGTCCAGCATTGCTCCGAGCATCACTCAAACCAGTGTCTGCCCGTTTGCTTGTTGCATCTGCTGCGAAGTCCTTCGCCATCCCCAGGGCCCCAAGAGTTCTTTGACCATGACCAGGTTGGGGGAATAGCAACCAGACTGCAGCTTTATGTAGGTTTGAATGAACAAAAAAACAGGGTCTGGACGGTCTGGATGAGGATATGTCTCCAGACTATTCATGAAAAACCTGTTCAAGGCCAAGGGTGAAACACTAGATAGTGACGTTCCTGATGTGGCTTTCAAAGGGTAAACTACTCACTTGCGCCCACAAAATTTTCTCACTTGGGGCCCTTACTCACTTGCGCCCCCCTCGACTCACTTACGCCCCAAACTACTCACTTGCGCCCCCCTCCCGACTCACTTGCGCCCCCTGGCCTTCCATTATGCCATCATCTAACATCTACCTCTTTATTTAAATTTACCCCCTTGCCTTCCACAATGCCATCATCTAAAATCTAACTCTTTATTTAAACTTTACTCCCCCTTGCCTTCCACAATGCCATGATCTAAAATCTGACTCTTTATTTAAACTTTACTTCCCCTTGCCTTCCACTATGCCATCATCTAAAATCTAACTCTTTATTTAAACTTTTCCCCCCCTTACCTTCCACAATGCCATCATCTAAAATCTAACTCTTTATTTAAACTTTACCCCCCCTTGCCTTCCACAATGCCATCATCAAAAATCTAATTCTTTATTTAAACTTTACTCCCCCTTGCCTTCCACAATGACCTCATCTAAAATCTAACTCTTTATTTAAACTTTACCCCCCCTTGCCTTCCACAGTGCCATCATCTAAAATCTAGCTGTAGTAGTAGTAGTAGTAGTAGCAGTAGTAGTAGTAGTGGTAGTGGTGGTTGTAGTAGTATTAGTAGTAGTAGTAGTAGCAGTAGTAGTAGTAGTGGTAGTGGTGGCTGTAGTAGTAGTAGTAGTAGTAGCAGTAGCAGTAGTAGCAGTAGTAGTAGTTGTAGTAGTAGTAGTGGTACTAGTACTAGTAGTCGTAGAAGTAGTAGAAGTAGTAGAAGTAGTAGAAGTAGTAGAAGTAGTAGAAGTGGTAGAAGTAGTAGAAGTAGTAGAAGTAGTAGTAGTAGTAGTAGTAGAAGTAGTAGTAGTAGTAGAAGTAGTAGAAGTAGTAGAAGTAGTAGAAGTAGTAGAAGCAGTAGAAGTAGTAGAAGTAGTAGAAGCAGTAGAAGTAGTAGAAGTAGTAGACGTAGTAGAAGTAGTAGAAGTAGTAGAAGTAGTAGTAACTACTTTACCTTCTAAGAGGGGCACAAGCGAGAACAAAACGGGGGCACAAGCGAGAAAATTTTTGGGGCACAAGCGATGCAGCGACCATTTCAAAGGCTCAGGGTCACACCAACTCTAAACCCTCAGATTTCACCAGTTCTTCCCACATGTCACCAAGCATCTGCCGCTTTCGGCGTGCCGGAAGTGACAAATCTCAGAGCTGGGGAAGCCACCTCCGGAGCCAGGCTGAATATATCATCAAGGATTTTATCATATTTTAACATGGGGCAATTCCATTTTTTCATGGAAAATCCTGGAAACTGATCTATAAATACTTATAATCTATAATTTGAGGAAATTCTTCCATTGCCAGGTGAGCACTGGTGAGAGGACGAGAGTCGAAGCAGTCCAAAAATGATACTGTAGTTTTGGTGGAAAGATGTTGAACGCATGATAAAGCATGAATGCAGCCTCTGAGTCTTGGCATTTTTGGAGGCAAATGCAATGACCAACTGACCAAATGCAGGCTGATTTCTGCGATAGGTAGCTGATGATCACATAGTTGATTAGTTGGTAGTAGTTGAAATTTTCAGTGACACTACTATACAATAACTTACACACATCATTGATATTCATTGTGCTATAATTGATTGTCATGAAGGCTTAGTCATGAAATCCCTACCAGACTAGGGCAGGGTGCATCTTCAAACGGCAAACCAACTGATATGTTTTTGTTCCCCAAACTTTAAGAGACACACACATTTGATTCGAAAAACCTTCCGTCATGCAGAGAAAAGAACTTCATCCCCTTTCTGTAGACGGTTTCAGCATGTTTCGAAAAAGCTTTGATGCTATGAATTATCCGATACTTATCCCCATCTTATCCCAGGTGGTGCTTACATCTCTCTTCATCCCCAAATTCAGCTAGCTGAAATGCGCCCCCCGCTGCCTTGCCGCATCGACAGGCACGGAACATCGTGGCCCACCATGGCAGCTGTGAGGAGCTTCTCCATGGTGAGAATGAAATTGGAAGCCCCAATCATACTGGAACTGAATGGGATTGGATCCCTAGAAATGCTATATAAATGCTATATAAATGTATATTACCTTATATACCTTTTATTTGGATCGTGACTTATTAGACATGTACCTGTCATTTGAATGGATTATTATTACGAAACTGTCTCATCAATAGAGAAAGAACATGGCATCACATATGCCACTCTCAGCAAGAATCCAAACCCGAGCCACAAAGCTAGTGACTGTTACTGACTTCACTCTATCCAAATAGTGTATGGTAATGTTGGTCAAGCGAGGATTGCAGGGATCATCATCACACTTGATGCAAAATGGGGTTTCAAATTCAAAAACACACACAATCACATGCTAGAATCGCTAGAACGTCCAAACACCTCAGATAGTGACCATATGCACGTGAGAATCTGTCACCATGTGCACCCAAGTCTGAATCCTACAAGTGGCAAACAAAGGAGCCCATGAAAACAAAAACATACGCAGCTGCACATAGTCGGTGGTTGAGTCAACCATGGACTCCCAAAACTCTTAGTCAATTGACCGAATAGTCCAATGAGGAAATTTACATGCAAACATACCTTGGTCTATACATCAACATATAAATTAGTGAGGAAACACTAGCAGTAAATGGAGTATCCTCCTTGCAACATACAACGTTTCGCCGTGTAAAACATCAGTGGCTCGCTCGTCGGCGTCGGCGTCCCATGGGGATCATCGAGCAAATCTCCAACATCAGATCTGGCGAAATGGTACCCTCTGGTAATTTGTAACAGTTCGCTATTGAAAATGGCCATAGAAATATTGAAGTTTCCCATTCAACATGGTGATTTTCCATAGTTATGTTAGTTTACCTCAGAGGGTAAATCATCACTGGTTGGTGGTATACGCACGGTATACCTCTCTGACAAATATGACTTCGTCAGTTGGGATGATGAAATTCCCAACTGGATGGAAAATCATAAAATTCCATGGTTCCAACTTCAACCCACCAACCAGATCATCTTTCACTAAGCTGAACTGAGGAAAAATACGGCCTGGCGACCTGGGTTCATGCCCCTTCCCAGCATTTCCAGCGCCTTCTCCGCAAGGGGACTTGCGGACCATCAGGCGCAGAATCTTCGTGGGCAGACCTGAGGTGATGAGGTGATGTTGTCCCCATGATCTATTCATACAATGTGGTGCCTCCCAGTGATGTGAACGTTGGTTTATAAACCCCATGAATACTCTGATTATAAGTATAATAAACCATAGTTATTGGAGTTATGTTCACCAATTTAGCTTTCGTAAACGGGGGCACCACATTGTATCTATTCTGATGTTGTTCCTTCTTATCTGTCAAACATGTTTTTTGATACATCTATTATGCACAATTTTCCCATCCCATGACTGGTTGGTTGATAATAGGTAGTCATCCCTATTTAAAACAATAATATCAATGTTCGTATATATACATATATAATCGCCAAATGAACCTCAGGAAGTGTTCTTTTCCGGTTCATCAATGAAGAATTATGGCTCACTTGGCTTCTATCCGCCTCACATGAGGTTATGTGACTTTGAGGAGGTTCCTCTTACACATGATAATCATCTCATCACGGTGACAGGGTGAGGTCACAATAATCACGTCCTCCGTCATATATAGGTGTGGTTTGATAATTATACATATGTTGCATGGAGTTTCAGAGATGTCAAGAACAAGGCTGTCAACATGGTTTTGTTTGCTGTAACTTTTAATTTGCAGCTTGTCAGATGGTCAAAAACTGAGGTTCCTCATGACATCAGGTTACCAGGACACCAATGATGCCCAACAAAATGAGGATCCCCACAGTTTGCCTATAGGATCAAAAAACATAGATTCAATAGATGCCTCCCCCCAAACAAAAAAATGCCCCAAGAGAACAACAACAACAACAACAACAACCACAACAACCACAACAACCAACAACAACAACAACCACCACCACAACAACAACAACCACCACAACAACAACAACATCAACATCAACAACCACAACCACAACCCCAACCCCAACAATAACATCAACATCAACTGATCAACTCTTGTCAACTTCACCGATGAAATCTGATGAAATCTTTACCGACGCCAACACACCCTGTGCGCCAACCAGGTCACGAGTGGGTCCCGCCACCTTCAAGTCCTGAGTTCCACAAAGTTCGATGATACGCTTACAGTTTATCATCCATTTAATAAATGTATATATAATTATATATATATATATTAATATAATGATATATAATATAAATATCTAATATCTAAAAATAAATACTTTGAATAAAACGTGTCATAAAACATGACTTAATCATAGAACCGTACTCATTTTTTTGAATATAACAAAAAAACAGCAATAGCAATAGAAATAATAGAAGTGAGGATCAATGAGACTAGTTAATCATAGTAATCAACCGCATGAATCATAGTCACATTCAAGTGATCACCATGCAGGATGTGTACATGTGCGTGTACATGATATGCTGGACTGTTTTACCGATAAAACTGTTGATATAACATATATATAGGTCTTACTTGCATACAAACAATCATGTACACCTGCTCATAAATTTTGATGGTGGGTTTGTGGGTGCTTGTGGTGTGCAAACCAGGAACAAGAATCGTTCATAAGATCACAACAACAAAATGTTCAAACATAGAAATAAAGAGTACGATACAGATCCCCTCAACTACTAGCTAGGGACTATAGGTAATTTCAGATTAGACCTTTTTACCCGGGTCTAATTGAAAGTTCCCTATGCAAATAGACCTATTTTGCACCAACCATCTCAGACCTACCATAGGGATCCAGCAGAGATCATCAACATGCTGATGTTGTATGTTTCCGGAAACGGGAAACTTCACATTAGACCCTTGGGTGCTGGTTGTCAGCAACAACAGCCCCGGCAACAGCAACGGCAACAAGTTTCTCTTCTTCCTTCACGTGCTTAGCACATCTTAGCGCTGTGAACTTCTATGTTTTTTTCGTCAAATAGCTTCAGGTGAGCTACTTTCCCTTGCGTGAACTTACTCCACTTACTCCTGCAAACAAGTCAGAATGATTTTGAATTTTGGGGAATGTTTAGGTATAATTTCAAATGTTCAGGACTTAAGGCTCCTTTTTGGACAAGGCTCTATGAGTAGCCCTGCTTCTGAGTAGCCGAGGGGTCTCACATGAATATCCAGGGTCTATTGTGGTTTGCTGTGTGTTTTTCCCCTGGGAAATTCAAATCCAAAGATAGGCAATTTCACCTTAGACCCCCAGGGTTGGCCAGGAAGACCATGACAAGCTCAGCGGAACAGAAGTTTGTTTTGGTGATGAAGTTTATGGGTCGTTGCCATTGAAACAATAATGTTAGATGTATATACATGTTCTATTGCTTAACGTTGTGGTTTGGTTCAACAGTTGCTAATCATGTCCTTGGTATCCAGGGTCTATTGTGGTTTGCTGTGTGGTTTTCCCCTGGGAAATTCAAATCCAAAGATAGGCAATTTCACCTTAGACCCCCAGGGTTGGCCAGGAAGACCATGACAAGCTCAGCGGAACAGAAGTTTGTTTTGGTGATGAAGTTTATGGGTCGTTGCCATTGAAACAATAATGTTAGATGTATATACATGTTCTATTGCTTAACTCAACAGTTGCTAATCATGTCCTTTGTATCCAGGGTCTATTGTGGTTTGCTGTGTGTTTTTCCCCTGGGAAATTCAAATCCAAAGATAGGCAATTTCACCTTAGACCCCCAGGGTTGGCCAGGAGGACCATGACAAGCTCAGCCATTGAAACAATCATGAAGCACATGTACAATGTACAATTTCTAAAGACATTTTTTTACAATCAGTCCGATTATCATAATTTGACTTACGTAAAGGTTTTTTCACAGATGATATATGCTAGTGTCATTTGGCCTTTTTGTTGGAACGCAGACATGTCATGTCAGATTTCAGTTTGCAGAGGTAAGTGGTGGTTGAGGGGTGGTGGTTCACTTTCCGGGTGGTGAGCTACTTTCCCAGGAGTACCCAAGTTAGATCCCTTCAGGGGTGGTGGTTCATCTCATCAAAGTTCGTCTCATCAAAGTTGATCAAAAACCAGCAAAGGGTCTAAGATGAAGTTCTCTACGAGTTAGGCAAAAGGTCTAAAGTGAAGTTCTCACTTTCCAGCATGTACATGTTGAGGGTCTGAGGTGGTAGCTGGCCAGGGTCTAATCTGATAGAAAAAGCAGTTTAGACCCTAAACAAATTGAGCCCTAAGCACAAGGCTTCAGACCCTTTGGTAGTTGGGAGGATCGATACAGTACGTTTTAAATACGAGCCTAACTCCATACATCAATCACTAACATGGCAGTGACCTTACTGCAAAATCTGCGGCCTGAGACTGTATTGGCGATGGCTGACTATCAGCAAGTCTCAGATTGAATTCGAGACACTGCTTTCAGTGGGATGTTCAGTTGTCCAATCCTGATCGATTTTTCCCGGACCATGGACCATGGGTATTTTCCTGAATACCTGCGACAAGAACTGCCCGAAGCCAACCCCAGAGTCCTTGGCTTTGGCACCTGTCACCAGGTCGGTGCAGACCTTTTCCAAAGCCTTCACCTGGGCTCAGCAGGGGAAGATCTGCCTGCCGTTTGAAGTTTCCAGAACAAATGTTAGGGGCATATCTCACCAAACACGGGGAGTTTACAGTTTACAGTAACCAAAATCCACTAGTTGGTGGATAAATAACAAAACCCCCGAAAGACATATGTGACATTATGTGACACATATGCCTCACTTGGGAGAATCATGATGATATTTCTGTGATGCTGTGATGGTACTGAAGGTAATGGTGATGATGGTAATAGTGATGGTGATGTGATGAGGATGAGGATGAGGATGAGGATGGGGATGGGGATGAGGATGAGGATGAGGTGCTGCTGCTGCTGCTGCTGCTGAG